CCATCCAACCAACCAACCAACCAACCAACTAACAACCTACCTATCTACCTATCCGTGCGCTTGACGGGTGGAACAAACAGATGAATCACGCAATCATACATTTAAGTTGCTACTTGGCACGTATACCTAAGTAATATACTAACATAAACAGTATGCAATAACAAATAAATATGAGAAACAAAATATGTGCTTCCTTTTGAACTTGCCTTGTGTCTTTCCTTCTACCTTTTTCTTTAAATTTCAAATTTTAATAAAACTTTTTCAGCCTAATTCGCAATGGGACAACATTCTCATTTCGGCAAGACATTAGATTATTAAAAAACTTTATTCTCGTTTGCAAAAGATTTTAAACATCTATTGAGATTTTATCGAGACTTATACAGTATGTCAGATACAAATTGTATATCCTGTACACTGTGTGTGTACTGTGTATACAATCACAAGATAACATACATAGAGATCTAACAGATAATACATTTTCGAAAAATATTTATTCATCAATGAGACATTTTATACAATATAAATAATTAGAGTAGATCAAATAAAGAAATTAAGTTTCTGAAAATGATGATAAATATAATAGTAATCCGATTTTAGGAATATATTTGAATGAATTTTGTAATTTAAAAAAGATTTAGCAAACAGTATATTGCACAATAATTAAATCTATTTCTTAACTATATTTAACTATAACTACATTGAATTATAAAACGAAAAAATCATTTTCTTTTTCTTGTGGAATATATTATAAAAAATTTATTAATCAAAATATAAATTATTCACGTAGTGAATTTATTCGCATCACACCATTCATTTTCAACATAAATTAATAAAACAAAACAAAGAATATGATTATGCCGATAAAGTAGCTAGTCTGCTCACAAAACAAATGTATTGAACGGTAAAACTGTTTAAACAATTTGTCACCAGTGTCATCAGTGATTAGCCTAATTGCATGGAATTTTATTTTTATTTGCTGGCTAGCAATTAAATTTATTATAGATTATTTTATAAATAAGTATTAATACACATGTTAAAAAATTTATGCTTTAAAAAAAATGCATTTTTTACTAAACTATATCGATAACAAAACGGCAATTTAATAGATTTTTAAATATCTTTTGGCGTTCTAGAGATCACTGATCCTAATCTGAGGTTGAAATTTTCAAATTTTAAAACCTAAAATGACGAAATGATATGATGGATCAAAAACAATGAACTAGGACGAGTTTTTTTAATTTATCGATTAATCAATCAAAATACTAAATATTTTACTAAGACAATAATAAGATTGGAATTAAGATCATTTTATGTGAATACATCACTTAAATATGAAAAGCGCACTTAAAAATGACGGTCAAAGTTAGATGTTGAACTAATGCATATACATATTCTTATTTAAATGAATTTATTTAAAAAATATGATTGCGTTATTGTCGGACTTTCAACGCAATCCACCTAAAACATTAATAATCCCTCGAAATTTGATCTTAAAATACCGTAATAAATATTTTACTAAGAATTATTTGAATTATTTGTCCGCTATATTGGATTAGTTATTTTAAAATTTTGACTTTTAATTCGTAATCACCGACCCGAAGAACCTTCGGGTACACAGTTTTAAAAAATTGGTCTGATACAAAACTTCATGACACAAAGGGTTAACTATGCAGCATTTGCTCGGTGAACGGTCTGATTGTTTTGTTAGTTTCAATACGTTCTTTTTTTCCAATTCATAAATTGAAAAAGACTATAAATCTTGATTAACTGATTATTCAGTAAAATAAAAATTTATATATTGCGAAAAAAATTACCCAATTTTTTTCTTCCAATGTCATAATTGAACACAGTTGAATGTATAACAACTCTGAAGCTTTAAAATAATACAAAAGTAAAATGGTATTTCTTATGTAAACATATGACCAAAGTTGGAAAGTAACACGTTACTTTTTCTGGATAACAATAACGGATATAATCATTACATTGAAAAAAAAGATTGGTTGCTGCAACAATTTAGATAGTAAAATATGGCATAGCATTTTTATATGGTTGCAGCAATCAGTTTTTGATTGTAACAGCAAATTTTTAGTTGTGTTAGCCTATCCGCAATGTCAGTATAGAATTTTGCTGCAGCCATATAAAAATGCTATGCTATATTTTACTATCTAAATTGTTGCAGCAACCAATCTTTTTTTTCAATGTACCTTTATCGTTATTTAATACAATACGCATATATGGAGCATGCATAAGCGAGTTTCAAAAGAAGAAAATGTATTTGACCATGTTGCAATTAATCACTATTATAACAACTATAGATCTCGTATTGAATTGATCAATTAGTGACCAAAGCAATTGGATGCCACTTCAAAAAAAGAAGTCATCAAAATTCGAAAAAGTAACACAAATTCTAACAACTTGTTACTTTTTGAATAACAATAACGATAACGAATTACTTTTCAGAAAAAAGAAGTGATAAAGGTAATGAGTTATTTTTATAAAGTAAAGTTTAATTTTCCAAATCCTGCAAATATTTTTATATAATATATTGTGTAGTTGCACTTCTCTGGAGTTGGAATTTTAGTTAATCTTTTTAAATCGAGAACCGTAGAACTGTCCGATATTTTTACTGGTCCGCGATTTAGAAAGAAGCAAGATAAAAATATTTTTGTCAACCATTTGTATCGCATTACCTACACTGTCTACATGTTCGGTATACTGTTCTGGTTGATTTGTTGCTTAACGGGTTTCGAATCTTGTTGCTGTGGAAGATTGTGGTTGATTTGTGCAGCACTTCGATTACTCGGAACGTTACCCTGAGTATTCTGTGGCATTTGATTCTGCATTTGTTGCTGTTGTGTTTGCTGTTGAGTCTGCTGAGGCTGGCCTTGGGTTTGTTGTTGAACCTGTTGAGGCTGACCCTGAATCTGTTGTTGAATCTGTTGAGGCTGGCCTTGGGGCTGTTGTTGAACCTGCTGAGGTTGATTTTGGAATTGCTGCTGCGCTTGCTGAGGCTGTTGAGCCTGGAACTGCGGCTGTTGCGGTACTGGCATTTGGTACTGTGACTGTTGTCCCTGATATTGTTGCTGTTGCGGAATTTGGCCAGGATAATGTTGCTGAAGTGGTGGGACTTGAGGTTGATAGGGTTGTTGCTGCGGCAATTGGCCCTGATATTGTGGCACATGGCCGACTATTGGTTGCTGCGGTGGTACCTGTCCTGAATACTGTTGTTGTGAAGGATGCACCTGTTGCGAATATTGTTGATAGTTGTATTGTTGCTGATATTGTGACGGAAACTGCAGAATGATAAAAAAAGGCCGTGTTAAAAGAAAATAATTGCAGGTTAGCTAAGAAAATAATTTAAAATTAAAATGATTTAAAATTACTATAAAATATTTCACAGTTTAGTAATTCTCACCTGTTCATGTTGAACGGGTAGCTGTACAGTGTCAGGGGGTGGTGGTAACTAACGACAACAACAGAAAGTGCACAAGCTAAGTTAATTACTCTAATTACTACGGATAGCACGTCTATTAGTCAAAGCGATAGTGATAACGTCTGCAGATCCGTCGAACGGCGACTCATATAAAACACGCTTATCGTGCTAGTAATTACAGTCACGCATATATATATATATGTAATTACGTCTACAAAAAATGATTTTGGTTGAAAAAGCAATAAAGTGGAGCATTTCCTAATCTTATCTCGAACATGCTATTGAAGATGTGTATACAAAAGCGAGAAATAAAATTCATTATATATGTACAATATATATGTATACAA